GGGTGGCGGGGTCCGCGCAGTTGGGGTCCGCGCCGTGGATCAGCAGCAACTCGGCCACGCGGGTGTTGCCCATCATCATGACCTACAGCGAGAGCAGAATGGTCAGGGCGAGGGCAGGCAGAGGCGGCAGCGGCAGGATTAATTAATTTAGAGAAAGTAGTGGCGAAGCCGCTACCTGGTGCAGACAACCCTACAAGCCACGGATGCCTACTCTTTATTTGCCTTCAGTTACCAACTCTCTTAGCCAGTTCTCCTACCTATTCCATTTTTCTGTACACATTGAATTCCCATTATAGTCTCCAACCTTTTGCAGAATTCCAGCCACACACAGAACACCGCTGGAGGCACAGACAACAGCAAAAGAGTGAGGGACAAACTTGCCTAATCTCCTGTAGCCCCCCCCCCTCCATTTTGATATAAAATTATGTAAGACCCAGAGATTTGGTATGGTTCACTGCTGTATATACAAGCCCTTGTTAAAAGGGAAAAATAGCCCTGGCTCCTTTGGGTCAGTGGATAGAACGTTGACTTGCGGACTGAAATGTCCCGGGTTCGGATTGAATTCTGGTCAAGGGCATGTACCTTGGTTGCGGGCACATCCCCAGTAGGGGGTGTGCAGAAGGCAGCTGATCGATGTTTCTAACTCTCTATCCCTCTCCCTTCCTCTATGTAAAAAAAATCAATAAAATATATTTAAAAAACCAATAAAATATATTTTTAAAAAGATATCCACTTCCTAACATTCTGAAGCTGTGAATATATTACCTTCCATGGCAAAAGGAACTTTGCGGGTGTGTTAAAGATTTGGGGGGAGATGAACCTGAATTGCCAGGGTGGGCCAACTGTACACACATTTCCTGAGAAGGGAGTCACAGCTGAGAAAGAGTGTATAACAATGAAGGCAGAGAGAAGAGGCAGGGCTCATCCCAGAACACTGATGGTCACTAGAAGGTGGAAAACGCAAGGAAATGGATTCTCCCTTAGAGCTTTCAAACGGAATTCCTTATTTTAGTTACATTCTGTATTTAACACAAATTACTTGTCCAAACCAAGATGCCATAAGTTACACTATGGTTTGGTTTTTTGTCCTGGAGAAAGTAAAACTGATTTAATTCTCAAAAAGAGAGAAAATATAAGTGAATCAAATTACAGCTCAAAAAAAAAAAAGAAAAGAAAAACTATTGCAGTGCAACAGAACAATGCACTTTCATAAAATAAAAACTGGGAAAGCTTTCACACTATTACTATGTTTATCCAATGAAGTCCTTCATCAGTTGACTGGTTTTAAATGTTTTTATTATATTAGCATTAAAGCCTGAACAGTAGCCTAACATTTAAATCATAATAGCAATCCCATGGGGGGGGGTGCGGGGAGAGAAAGAAATCTATTACAGAAACATTTGTAGGGTGCTTAAACACATTTTCAAAAACATTGAATTTAATTTAGTAGTTAAAATGTTTTTCTATCAACTAAGTATTTCTATATTATACACACATTTGATTAGGGTTCTAAACCAAAATCCTACTCCCTTTTCTTTATGTTCTCATCCTCCCCATTAAAAAAAGTTAAAACTAATTATCCAATTTTCTTTCTTCTTTTTATATAATAGGTCTCTAAAATATTCTAGAGCTCCAAGGCCAAACTCCAAGTTTCCAAGCTGCTGGGGATATTTTAGAGATATTAAATTATGAATCAGGCAGCATTATTTTGAAAGGACACAAGCTTGTACAATTCTCAGCCTCTTTAGATTAAAATTCTCTCCACGAGTCAAGTCCCAGATAACCCCAGGTTTCAGGCACTTTCATTTTATTTTTATATCTGTATTTTAAGTATAAAATTTATCCTATTAGCAGTTTCAGCAAAGGAAGATTTACTTGTGAAGTTCAAGTAAAGCTACTTTCTTTGTCTTGTTATGCTGGAGTTTTTGCAATATGTATTTGTTTCATATACATTTTCTTTTCAGCATCAGAAATCAACACTGGAAATTAAAACCAGGATGGTGACTGCCAGGAAGAATTCGTTGGGGTTTTGTTGTTGTTTTTTTTAGCCTGAGATTTAGAAAGTTAATGAAGGCCAACAACAAAAACCTGACCCTCCCCCCCCTCCCCACACACAAACCAACAACAAGAAACTGGAGTGGGGAGAGGAGAAATGACACTTCTCAGCATTGAGGAATTGAAAACTCTACTTCCAATATTTTCATCTATAGCAAGCAAGTTAACAATAGCAACAATAACAGGAGATACCACTAACATGATGACCAAATTGGTATTTCAGGGGCGGTTTCACTAATGTTCTTCATATATGTCTGCATTTTCTAAATTCTTATAATCATATGGAAAAGCAAGCCTATCCTTGTACATTAAGTCCTTGTACCCTAAGTGGTTACATCTGAGAATCTCAATTTGATATTTATTGCAACATACACAGCAGATTTCCACTGAAATCCCTGCGAGGGAGGAAAATGACCACCCGTCAGTTCCTTTCGGAGGCCTGTGAGTTCAGGGCTAAGCGATCCCAGCTAATCTTACATTTCTCTAAAACTGGACATTTTACACACCAAACGTTTGAAAGTTTTGTACTTGATAAAGAATATATTTTTAAAAAGAATTTAGCTTGGTCTATATTAACATACACCGTTTCTCCCTCCGGATTCTGCACCCTTTCTGCTTCCTCATTCCTCCCTCGGCTCCCTGAGCGCCCGGGCACCGGGCATCGTCCCGGGGAGACACCGCACTCCAGCCGGAACGCCGGGGGTGTCGCCCCTTTACCGGGATCTGTCGCCCCTTTACCGGGATCGAAAGGCTCTACCTGGTTCCGACCCCCTTGCGAACCTAGTCCCCCGAAGCCGTTCACCACCCCTCTGGCCGCGGCAGACGCGACCACCCACCTGAATGGGGGTCCGGCCGTGACTGTTGGGGGCGTTGGGCGATGCCCCCGCTTGGAGCAGCGCCTGCACC